GAGGCGACGGCCACGTGAATTCCAAAGGCGTTCTCCACTCAGGCCGCGACTGGAGATGACTTCATATTTTGGTGTACATGAAGGTGAATGGCGGCAGCCGGCTCCTGCTTATAGAGGAAGATCTTGGGTATCTTCCGCCCTGGTACTCATATCCACTTCCTCTGTCTGGGCTGCGAAAACTTCGCTCATATGTGACTCGGCCGGAATGACTTTTTTTTGGCCCCCCCCCTGTATAGGAAGCCCATCAAAAAAGCCAAAGCAGCCTGAGGGCTTGTCAGTAATATCTCATGACGTTTTCGTGTTCTAGTCTGTCGATTTATGAAGTATGGCGCGATAGGAGGGCACCAGACAGCCGGTACACTCCCATACTCTACCAGCTGCCTGCTACCCTTCTATCGCGCCGTACTCTCTACCAGCAGTCTGCTGCCCTCCCATCTCCCATACTCTACCAGCTGTCTGCTACCCTCCTATCGCGCCATACTCTCCTCTCCCGGACGCTGGGAGACGCTGGTGCACGCCGGCATACGCTTATAGACGCTAGATCAATACCTATACTTTCCAGGCCCTTGAAACGCTGGTGCAGGCTGGTGGTAGACGGTGGCGCACGCTGGCGAAGCCGGAGGCGCTATCTATACTTTCCCAGTCGCTGACGCTGCCGGACGCTGTAAACGTTAGTGGACGCTGACGTTACTGGAGCTGCCGCAAAGTATGAACGCAGCCCTACGCCATTCCGCAAACGCTGCATGACCAACCAATTTCGTAGCGCTCATAAATCGACAGACAGAACCACGAAAAGTATGAGAATTACTGACAGCTTAGGCTGCTTTGGCTTTTTCGATGGCTCCTATATATCCCAGCGATAGAGGTGTCTTGCTGAATATTCACTTGAACGTGGAGTTGGATACGTTGTTCGTGGGATATTTCCGTTTGATAAGAGGGTTCTTCTAATTTGTACTGGACAACGTCATGGTTGTGACCGTTTTGGAACTCCAATATCCCTGCAGAAGAACACGTGTCGTCCCGTTCAAATGAAGCACGCAGCCACGGACTCTCCATCTCTGGGATATGGGCTGTTCAAGTCTGTGCCCATTTGCTTACTGAACGGGAATCATGCAAATTCTGGAAGAGACAATTCTGCGAATTGTTATCTCACCTCATTATCCTTCTTCCACAAATACTTGTCCACTGAACAAAGCGTCCAGCGACAACTATCAGGTGCCTCATCAAAAGTCACAGTAGCTTTGAGCTTCCCTGGAAGGGGAATGTTATGGCAAACGCTATGCAAGGCTCAAATTGAAGAGTGAGAAGGAGATCATGTCAAAATGCTAAAGCTTTTCAGAGTTCACCCAGTAGAATGAACATTTTGGATGTCATGCTCCCACAACAGTATGATATGGCCTCCATGGTACAGCTTTGAGTTATTTCACGTAAGAGCCCTTTGGTGAATACAGTAACTGACGCACTACCTCCAGTCAATCCACCGTCCTACTTAATTGCTGAAATCAACGTCCCTGTTGCTGCGAATTTCGCGACGCTTTTCTCTATGGGCTCTTATCAGCTCCTATGGTCGCTCTCATTTCCTTTCGTCCACCATACATCAGCTCGTCTTATCACTCATCTTTTGTCAGTTTGGAAGTTGTGAATTTCCTGTCAAACACACATACACACGTTACTCACGCACGCACGCACGCACGCAAGCACGCACGCACGCACGCACGCACGCACGCACGCACGCACGCACGCGTGTCCTACTTGAACTCAAAGGAATTTGCAGTAAGAGGG